GCATAGATCATTTATGTTTCAGTTTTCCTTATCCTTTTAGCCAAGAAAATATTAAATTATTTTTTTTCAAGTTTGTTTGCAATATTAAGCTATAAATAACTTGAATTGAATGACTTTGTAATGCTTTAATCTGGATAGATTAAAGCTTCTATAGTTTGCTTTAATTGTTTATATGTTTATATAATTTATTATAGTTAAAAACAAGTATATTTGAGATTTAAATTTCTTTTTATTTTGATTCACTCCTAACAAGGCTGCAAGCAACCATTATTATTATTTTATTTCGAAAATAAAACTCTTTTTGTTTATACAAATTTCTTTTATTTAAATTATGTAAATGTTTTATATATATATATATATATATATATATATATATATATATATATATATATATATATATATATATATATATATATATATATATATATATATATATATATATATATATATATATATATATATATATATATATATATATATATATATATATATATATATATATAAATTGACTTCTTACTTATAAAATCATTCAATTATGAGGGAAACAGATATCAACTAGGGGTGGGAGTTAAGGTTAGTTTTAGTCTAACTAAAGATACTTAACTAAATTTTTAGTCTAACTAAAATTAATTAACTAACTTTTTAGTTAACTAAAATTAGTCGACTAACTTATTAGTTAACTAAAATTACGCGACTAACTTTTTAGTTAACTAAAATTACCCGACTAACTTTTTAGTTAACTAAAATTACGCGACTAACTTTCTAGTTAAGTAAAATTACCCGACTAACTTTTTAGTTAACTAAAATTACGCAACTAACTTTCTAGTTAACTAAAATTACCCGACTAACTTTTTAGTTAACTAAAATTACCCGACTAACTTTCTAGTTAACTAAAATTACCCGACTAACTTTCTAGCTAACTAAAATTAAGCAACTAACTTTTTAGTCTAACTAAAATTAGTCGACTAACTTTTTAGTTAACTCAAATTAGTCGACTAAATATTTAGTGTAACTAAATTTAGTCGACTAAAGCAAGATTTAGTGCTTGAAAAAAGAAATAATCTTTCGCATAAAAATTTTACACACGAGGAAGCATTATTAAGGCGATAAATATTATTTTATCGAAATTAAACACTTTACTAGTTGTGAATCCTAGAGCCCAGTCGAAATAAACTGTTATTTAAAAGAAATGTTTTAAGCAAAATTCGATTATTTTAATTTTTTCCCAGCTCTGAGACAACTGCCTATGAAGTTGTTGCAACTGTTTATAAACACCCATGGAATATACAAATAATGCCCTTTAGTCAATTACATCAAATTTGGTACGCTTATTAAACGTTTAACTTATATTTTTTATGTGCTGCTTCTTATAGGAAGTGTGCAATAACAATCGCAAATCAAAAATAATTTCTCCTGCCAAAGTCGTACCAACGTGAGTATGGGCACCTTACCGGGGTTACAACATTCTGTCGGTTTTGTCGGTGATTTAAAAATTTGAGACTCAATCGGTTAAAAGTGCAACTTGGCTTTTAAATAAAAAAAAAGCCCTACTTTGGTGAGATTTTTATGGTAAAAAAGCTTATTTCATTTGCACCCCCCTCCCCCTACGTCTTCGTTGTTCAGTACAGCCCTGTCCCCTGCTGTATTATAGAATAGATTCAATCTCTAATTTTCACAACAAATCTAGGACTCCCCCTCCCCACCTCTTCAAATATCAACCTCTCCTAACAGCTATTACAACCCACAAACACTATAGTAAGGCAGGCAAAAGTATTGACATGAACCCAAAAGAAAATCGTTAAATAAGTTATTATGAATTTATTTTTTTTGCTTTCAGAGTATAGTTGTTCGTCGGTCGGCGATACCTGCAAAATTTAAAAGGAAAATTGGTATTTGCATTTTTGAATGCAATATCCGCAATATAAGTTGTTGAATAGTGTATAAAATGTATTAAATAATACTTAACTGTTGAATAACGAAAACATTTTATTAAGTAACTGCGGTCGCTTTTAAAACCAGGAAATTGTTTATGGCATTTTAATTACTTGAAAAATGCAATACGTAGTTTTTAAGCACTTTAAACAAAACAATTATAAATTAAAATTCAATAACTCGAAACAATTATAAATTAAAATTCAATAACTTTTTTATTATATTTATTTTTATATTTTTTCATTAGATAGATGTTTAAAAAAATACTAAAGAATATATTAATAAATATAAAAAAACCGCACGCTCAAGAACATTAAAATCACACATTAATTTTTTTAATTTTCAATTTTTTCTTTATCTTTTTTTTTTAACACATTTTAAATTTAAAAAACTATATTAATTTTTTAATTTTTTGTATCAAAAAAAAAAAAAAAAATCAGTTTTACTCAAAAGAGTTCGAATACTAAATTTAATAATATTTATTTTAGAACAATAAATATATTTAAAAATATTTATTACAAGAAAAAACTTCAGTATTATTTTTAATGAATTTAAACTAAATTAAAAAATTCCAAATTTTCATACAAAAACATCAATATTTGAAAACATTCAGTTGTTATTCTGTTTGGCTTTGCATACGTAAGTATAAGTTTGCATACATTTCGCTTTGCATGCATAAGTGTTTAATGCCTCAGAGAAAAGGTGTTCACTTAGTGCACTGGTAACAGGCGTACATAAAATCATTGTTGAAATACAATACATTATTGGATATACATGTTAATTTTGATACCAAAAGTGTAAAAACATTTTGCTCATTTACTGACAATTTTATATAACCACTAATTTCTCTTTTTAAATCTAAACTTATTATTTTGTCACTATCGTTTCCGGAAATATTATCTTCATCGTCAAATGATAACTTAAATTTTTTTAATTTGTTTGTCACCTTTTTAAATAGAATTATATCACAAACTTTTTTTGTTTAATGAAATTTTGACAAAAACTCTAACACATTTAAAAAAAATTTTTCCCTTGTACTTTTCAAAGAATTGAAAACTTTTATAATTTGGATCCAAAAAAGTGGCACATAATAAAACCAAGTAATTGTAATATACTGTAGCTTACAGGGCCGGCACAAGTAGGTAACACGTAGAGAGTGCTGTTAAAATTTTACTTACTAAAAATAGGAAAAAAAAATTCTTGTTTTTATTTACCAACTGACTGTTCTGAAAATCTACATTTGCCAACTTACTTATCTAAAAGAGTCAAATTGGCTTACTAAATGAGCTAAAAGTTCATTGATGGGATATCACACACGAAACCAACCAATCCATCCTTACAACCCTTTGCGTTGGCCTTGATAGCTTATTCAATTCTATATATATTTGTGTTTTACTATGTTTACTTTTTGGATTTTTTATGAAAAATTTTCTTGAAGTATCTTGTTTATAATATTTTCTTGAAGTAAATTATTTTGATATTTTTTTATTTTTGCGACATTATGCGATAAAATGATTATGCATTCGCAATCTTATTCAAAAATTCTAATAGAAATGATATCATGTACCCAAATTATTTATATTATATATTTACAAAATTCTTTAGTTGGACTAAAAACAAAGTCTTGTATATTTAGTTAACAAAAAGCTTAGTCGGTTAATTTTAGTTAACTAAAAAGTTAGTCTGGTAATTTTAGTTAACTAAAAAGTTAGTCGACTGATTTTAGTTAACTAAAATGTTAGTCATGCAATTTTAGTTAACTAAAAAGTTAGTCCACTGATTATAGTTAACTAAAAAGTTAGTCAACTAATTTTAGTTACGGTATTTTTAGTTTAGTTAGTTACAATTTTTAGTTTTGGTTACAACACTAATATCAACCAAAAGTAATAATAACTGTGTATTTAAAAGTGGTAACAAATCACATATTTAGAAAGAAAAGAATGATAGGAAGATTAATATATATGCATTAAAAATTCAAAAGAAATTTAAATCTTTTCATGTTTAACAAAAAGTAAATAAATTTCAACAAATAAAAAAAACTTTATATTGGCTAATTATCAGATTCAAATTTTAATTTGTATCAATCAATCAAAATATATTAAAAAAAAAACTTTGTATTTAATCTATTTGCACATACATGCGAATAGACTATACCTTATTATAGCACATTTGCATGTTAAAAAAAAAAAATTTTACGATAAAAATTAACAAAAAATAATAATTTATATTTTATACATTATTATAAAATATTAATTATAGGCAATTTTACAAAGAGACTATAATTAAATATATTGATTTATAATCATTTTTTTTTTGGCATTAGAGAGGTAAATTTAATTTTTAAAAAAAGCTTATGTATAATGCGATTTGGTCACAAGGATTGCTTATTATATCTTTGTGACTAAATCATTATCTTTAGTATTTCAAATGTTGCTAGTCACCAGCTGATTTCCTACCAGGTGCAGTTTTAACATTTATGTTTTGTTGATTATGATTTGTTGTTAATGTGGTTTTTTATGTTTTTTTTTTAAATAATTTTTGAAATAAAACAAAGAGAATAATTTAGTTAAACTTAATCCATATTTATTTAATTATAAAAGAGAAAAAAGAAATATAATAAATTTATTTATTTTTTTAAATTATTATCATATATAAATAAAATATTTTAAATGTGATTTTAAATAGGACGCAAACCGAAAACGTTAAAAAATGTTTCAAAATAAATTTAATATTATAAGAGTTTTGGTAACTCATAACTTGCTAAATATTTTTACATTTATTTATTAAAGTCTTTTTTCTTTTTTTTAAATATCTATACTTGAAACTTTGCTGATTTAAATAAAATGTTCAAATGCATCTGTATATCAATAACTTTTACCCCACACCATAAGGGTTAGTAACAAATAAAAACAACCAATTTCAACGCAACCCATTTTAACAAAACATATTTTTCAAAATAACACATTATTCACAACACATTTTAACATAACACATCATTCTATTAATTTTATTTTTATGTCAAAGACTAATTTCAAAGTTTTAATTATTATTTGTTAAATAAAACATACCTGATGTAAAGCACTTAAGCCATCTTCATTTTGTAGATTAGGACTGAAGCCATTTTTAATAAATGAAGCCACTAAATATAAATTTAAGATTTTAATTAATATATTTTATATATTTGTAAATCTGAAAACTAAAAAGCTTTATATTTTGTAAAAGAGTTTTTGAAATTTATAAGCTTAGGATAAATGGATAATCAAAATAAGCATAAGTAAATTTTTAAAATTTTATCTTTATAATTATACAATATATGATAATTTAGCAGCTTTTTTTTTTACTTTCTATAAAAAAATAAAATAAATTCCAAAATAGGGCATTCTTGAAACTTGCAAAGACATCAAAATTATATGTCAAAGTAATTATAATTTTTTAATATAAGTAAGGTATATCTTTCAAAATCATTTCTGGAGAGGCATAGTCAGTTAATAAACAAATGATTATACCACTTTTATATGAAGTAAACTTTATATAAAAAAACCGCACTTTTATATAAAGTAAACTTTATATAAAAAATTTATGAAAAAATGATTTTTTTAGTTTTGAAATTGCTTTTTAACCAAGGTTTTTTCTTTATCAATACCTTTTAGGTAGATCATAGAATAAATGTCGATTAGAAATGTTTAACTAGTTTATGAGTAGACTATGAAAATTTGGAAAATTGGGATGAATTTAATAATTGACCTAAGATAAATAAATATTGAATTTGAGCTTATGAGCAACACTTGTTAAACAAGTTGGTAGATGATTTATTAAAATTTTTGACATTTATTAGATTAGTAATGCTTTTCCAAAGTTCGTGAAGAATTTTTTTTATATAGATTTTTTTACTAAGTTTTGTGAAATTTTTTATTAACAGTAACAACAGCCAAACAAAGTGGTAAAGTATAACAACAACAAAATAATGGTTAAAGTTATAAAAATTGAGTTTAATGAATAAAAAACTAAATATAAATTAAGAGAAATATAATTTATTATATTTTGTAAATATTATTATATAATGTAAATAAGTATATTATAATGTATCAAAAATAAATACTAAATTAAATAAAAATAAATAAAAAAAATATGGTATATCAAATATGATGAAAAATAATAGCTACAACAAAAAATAAAAGTTATGAAAATTATTTTCTCTTTTAATAAATTGATATTTTTATTTTTATTGATCATTTCTTATTATTTATCCAAGGATATAATATGACATAGTACATCCAAGAACATGATACGACAAGGACATGATATGACAGGACACGCAAAGTCAATTTTCTGAATTTGCTAGCGAAGAACATTGACTTCTATCAAAGTGGAAGCGTTTTTAACGTTGCAATAATGTTTTTGAAAATCTCTTTCATTATGCCAAACAAATTTGGAGTTGCGAATTGTATAAGGAGTTATAATGAGCTTAATAAGTGTTGTGTTTTTAAATTACCTAAAGATGAAGTTGAGATACAGAAATGGATTATCGTGCTTCCTCCACGTAAAGTTTTTGTTATAGAGCCATCTAAATTTTTTATATGTGAAAAACATCAGCCTAAAAATACAAAAATGATTAAGCTTTCTGGTGGTTATACTTGACCACTATATGCGCCAAGTACTTTTTCATGTCTACCAACACCAAAGTTAATGCTTGTCAATCTAAGCCTGAGGATCAGCAACTCAACTATTTTCCTAAAAAAGACAAAATAAATTCATTTTCTGATTTCTATCCTGACAAAGAATTATTAATTAACAAGTTTTTTTATAACTCCAACTACGATCAACTTAGTGATTTTTTAGTGCTTTCAAGTAAACAAAAGCTGCAGCCTATAATTTCTGCCACCAACATTGATCTTGTATTACAAAAAACATCAAAAAAAAAATAATTAAAAAGCGATTAAAAAAAAAAAAAAATGCTTATTTGATAGTTGATGAGTTGAAAATTAGACCATCAGTTGCTTGTTTAGGTGGAGTTTTATATGGGATGGCAAAAAATGATCTAGAGTCCGAAGCAACTTCAATGCTATGTGTAATCATGAAGTGCTTACATGGTGAACCTAGTTTAATGGTTTCTGTTACACCTGTTCACAAACTAACATCAATGTATCACTTCAGTATTGTGAAAGAAGCTACAGTTATATTTGAAAAAAATGGTACCATTACTTTAGGATCTGTAACAGATAACTATAAAATCAATCAGCAATACTACAAAAATTTCAAAAGAATTACTGTTTGGTTTCTTTTGTTTGATACAGTTCATCTTCTTAAATATTTACATAACAATTGGATTTCTGAAAAATCAAAAAATATCTCTTGAAAATAAAACTATTGGTTTTATGATGTCAAAAACCTATATTAATATGAATAAGTTAACATTTTGAAATCAGTTACTATATCCCATGCTGCTGTTTATCCTTCTAGACTTAAACTACAGAATTTGCAACATGTTTTAAGAATATTTAATAAAAAAGTAGAAGCTGCTTTAAAACTAAATGGAGCTCATGAATCATTCTCTTTTATTCAGCAGGTTTTAGATTGGTGGAATATTGTTAATGTTTATGCAAAAAAGCAGGTTATTAGTATTGATTTCGCCGGTTATCCAGTTTTGCGGTTAACCGGATTTTGTTCGAATATCAAATATCTATTTTTGAATAATAAAAACCGACTTGAAAATTTTACGAAATTTTATAGAAAGTAACATCGTAATTTGACGATTATTGTTTGACAAATGTTAATTTATCAAAGATTATAATATAATTCTTTTATTAATTTAAATGTTAATTTAATCAGTTTTGTTTGATAATATATTCTTAAAACAATTTACAATAGAAATCTCAAAGATTTATTTATTACTTTTACAACTCAAGCAATACATTTTTAAGAAAGTTTCTTCAGAATATTATGGAACTCTAATTCCCTTATTCAGCATATTTTTTGAACCAATAGAATTTGTTTATTTGTAGATTTGGCGGTATTTTAGTGTTAGCAAATATTCTTTATATTATCTTTACGCAACAAGTTGTTTTGAAAACATTCAAGTTTATCTTCAAGTTTCCATCTATGTCCGCATATCAATAAGTTTTTAAAATACACGCTAAAAAAATTTACTTCATAACATCTCATTTTTCCAAATCAAATGTTTTTATATGAGAGAATGATTTTAAAACATCCGCTGATATTAAAACATTTAAGCTATACTTGTACATTATTCCTACCTTTTTTAATTATATAATTAAAAAGGTATATTATATTATAATATAAAAAATATATATATCTTTTTCCATGTTTTGTTATAAATATATAATATAGGACTGTATTCACTGTCTTGAAAATGTACACTTTAACATTAATTTTTAAAAAATTAGTTTAAAACGCTATGTTCGTTGAAATTTAGAAGATCCTGTATTCAGAAAGCGTCACTAATTTACCAAATAGTCGGTTAACCACAAATTGATGAGAACTGTTATCCGGTTTTTGAAACGGATAACCGACGAAATCACTAGTTATTAGACTAAAAGACCACAACCAATCTGTGCATGATAAAAATTCGAATAATCTGCAATTATTTTTAGAACAATTTAAAGCTATCAAATCAGGGCATGGATTCAAATAAACTCAATGTATTACCCATAATACCAAAAAAGCTCTTGTGTAAACCACTTAAGGGTTGATAGCTGTATTTGTTTTCTGTCACTTTACGACTTCATGAGCTACAAAGTGACAGAATTTTTTATTTAAAGACAATCAACGAGGGCAAATGCTTTTATGGCAGCTGGGGATGTTTTTTCTGCTTTTAAAAAGTATTTGCTCGATTTACTGCAATGTTTTTAGAATTAATGGAAGTAGGACAATCAATTAAAAAAAATCAAACATGTGAAGGTCCAATCAAATTTCAGATAATTTTTTAAGTAAACTTTATATAAAAAATTTATGAAAAAAAAAAAAGACAAAAACTCTTTGTGGCAATATTTTCTGTGAAAAAAATTTTCCTGTAGCAGGGTTCCCACTCCTTAAAAAAATCCGCTGTAGCAGGGTTCCCACTCCTTAAAAACCTTAAATATCCTTAAAAAATAAAAACATCCTTATATGTTCTTTAAAAAAGTTAAAATTTGACTGCTCACCTTAATTTCTCCTCTTTTTTTTTCTTTTTTTTTTTAATCATCTAGGAATTTTTATTAAAGTGAATGGATTACACTGTGAATGAATTAATAAAGAAGAAAATTCTTTGATAGTTTGCAAACCTATATTTTTATTATATATATTTATTTATTTTTTATTTATTTATTTGAGTTTTCATGCTATACTTTTCTATACAATGTTCTTATATCCGAAGATTGTTGGCTTAGCATAGGAACAGCCACAAATAGTCATTAAGACTAATCCAAAATAGCATCCATTATTGACCAACATTTTTGCGTACTGATGTACTACTCAAGCGCTGAGTTGGCGGTGGCGGGATTTGAACTCTTATCGTTCAAAAGTCCGGGTTTTAACTTTTCCTTTGACACTCTAACCATCTGAGCTATCCTGCCACTATATATATATATATATATATATATATATATATATATATATATATATATATATATATATATATATATATATATATATATATATATATATATATATATTCATATATATATATATATATATATATATATATATATATATATATATATATATATATTATATATATATCAAGCTTTCCCAGGAATAGCGTGCGGTCGCACGCCTTGTATATATATATATATATATATATATATATATATATATATATATATATATATATATATATATATATATATATATATATATATATATATATATATAATATATATATATATATATATATATATATATATATATATATATAAATATATATATATATATATATATATATATATATATATATATATAATATATGAATATATATATATATATATATATATATATATATATATATATATATAATATATATATATATATATAAATATATATATATATATATATATATATATATATATATATATATGAATATATATATATATATATATCAAGCTTATATAAGAATATATATATATATATATATATATATATATA